TGTGTGTGTGTGTGTGTGTGTGTGTGTGTGTGTGTGAGAGAGTGTGTGTGTGTGTCTGTGTGTGAGAGAGAGAGAGAGAGTGTGTGTGTGTGTGTGTCTGTGTGTGAGAGAGAGAGTGAGTGTGTGTGTGTGTGTGTGTGTGTGTGTATGAGCGAGAGAGAGTGTGTGTGTGTGTGTGAGAGAGAGAGTGTGTGTGTGTCTGTGTGAGAGAGTGTGTGTGTGTGTGTGTGTGTGTGTGTGTGTGTGTGTGTCTGTGTGAGAGAGAGAGATAGTGTGTGTGTCTGTCTGTCTGTCTGTCTGTCTGTCTGTCTGTCTGAGAGAGAGAGAGAGAGAGAGTGTGTGTGTGTGTGTGTGTGTGTGTGTGTGTGTGTGTGTGAGAATTGTTACAGCTCAAATGCATTGCAATGACTTCCATGTTAAAAAAAGACTTTAAAAAGCTGAATGTTTTAAAAAGTATAACATATTTTGAAAAAGTTGAAAGTTTCCCAACATCATCATATCATCAAAAGGCTGAATGGTTTGATATTTGAATGGTTCCTGCAGCTGAAATTAGGCTGAAGGAGTTGAATAAAGATATTAAATGTAAGTAGTAGTGAATGAATGTTTACAAACACCTGTGTGTGTAAACCCAGAGATCAAAGGTTACCATGGTGACGACTTATGACGATTTACCAACTGCAGCACTGAGTCCCATTAAGAATGCATTGAGGATTATATCTGACAATTTTGCCACCTGTTCAAAAACTATGGCTCCTATTAAAAAATTACCAGACCGTGAGCATCAGGGAACCCCAATTAACTGATTTATGTTGTTTTTATGGTTTTGTGTGTAAAATGTGGAGATGGGAGCAGTTTGTCTAAAGTGTACTTCTCTCTGCTCTGAAGAAAGATCCGGAAAAGTTTAACATGGGAATCAATCTGCATGTGTGACCATTAAAGAGGGTTTCATCCCTCCCTATTCTATTCTATTCTAATTGGGAACTTTTTGTCTCTTCATGCCCTCAAGAGGCATTTTGTTTAATATTGTTTCAAGAGAAGAGAGAGAGGGCGATCAAGAGAAGAGAAAGAGGGCGATCAAGAGAAGAGAGAGAGGGCGATCAAGAGAAGAGAGAGAGGGCGAGCAAGAGAAGAGAGAGAGGGCGATAGAAGATTGATCTGGGTGATCCAGAGAAGAGAGAGGGCAATCAAGAGAAGAGAGAGAGCAATGTAACCTCCTAATGTAATGTATAACATGAACATGTTCAAAAAGTGCTCAAACTTCACATGTGTGCTAACAGTCCAGCCGTGAAGACATCTACGGCACAGTTTTGAGATTTCTTCAAATGCCGTTGCCATGGCAACACAATGAAACACGGTTTTCTCATAACTTCAGTGAAAATGCTCGAAATGGCCCAAAACTTCACAGGTTTGGTAACAATGCAGCCATCAACACATATAAGCGTATTATGGGGTGTCATCAAATGCCGTTGCAATGGCGACAGATAATTCACCATCAAGTTAGATCAAAAGTTTGCAGTTCAAATATTCTGCTGCTTTCCAAAGCCTTTTTACTTTCTTTTCTCATCTTAATACAAATTCCTTCACTACTACTTACATCTGATATTTAACTCCTTCAGCCTATTTTCAGCTGCAGAAACCATTCAACTATTACTAGTCTAGTGGGTAGAAGGGGGTATCATGCACCCCCCTGAAATATACTTCTAATCAGCTTTTCTAGATTGGAAAAATTGTGTAGAAAACGATTAGCTATGTTAAAAAGTTGGCAAATTGTCCCACGTATATTTTTTTCCCAAATTAGTGTTTATTTACCCTAAAAATCGAGTTTCACTCTTTTTACACCTTTCACTATATCTCAGCCATTATTGCAGATAACTGAACAAATAAGGTATCCAGATCCATGTTTTGAGGGTCAAGGAACACAATAAAACTATTCTTAAAGTGATCACATGTGTCTGTGGCATGCTATTATGCTAATTAGTGCCGCCATTACAAGAAAATAGCATTTTAGTCTTGTACCAAGAACGGTGTATTTTGCACCGACACAGAAAAATACTTATAATCAGTGTTTCCTAAGTGGAAAAAGTATGTAGAAAATGATGAGCTATGTTAAAATGTTGTCTGGATGTCCCACATGTATTTTCTATGCAAATTAGTGTCACCATTACCAAAAACGGAATTTTCACATTTTTCACTCTATCTCAGCCAATATTGCAGATAAATGAACACATAATGTGTCTAGACCCATGTTTTGATGGTCAAAGATCACAATAAAACTATTCCCAAAGTGATCACATGTATCTGTGGCATGCTAGTATACAGCGCTGGCAGTAGTGAAAATTCCCGCCTTTTTTCCCGCCAAAAACAAACAAGTAGCTGACTTGGCTACACACACACACATTCAACCTTCAAACAAACAAGGTAAGTAGCTAACTCAACTAGACTCATGTGTTTTGTATGTTTTATATAGGTTTCTAGCTTAATTGTTGTTAACACATCATTTTGCAGCCCAAAGTAGGCTACACACTAGAACATGTGTTAGTGTTATTCTGCCCTGCAGAGGCTAACTGCAGTAAAATATGGTAAACTATTAGCTAGCTAACGTTAGCTAACTAACTAACAGTGACGTGAATGAGGGATAGCTAGTGGTGTAGCTTGTTGAATAAAGCTATTAGCTAGGTAGTGCTAGGTAGCTAGCTAGCTGTACAGCTAATGTTAATTAAAAAAAAGGCAGTAATTGTAATGCAAAACTGCAGGGCAGTATTCTTAACCCGTTAAGCCCGATTGCCCCCGGTACCACAGCGTCCCAGGGCTTGTTACAATGTAACAACCTATTAACGTTGCATACCCACTTAACGGGAAGAAACTAAGCTAACAGATGATAATAACCATTTTAACCTAAACGAAACACAATTCCAACACCAAGCGTCTAAATCAGCACTTAACGAACGCTAACGCTAACGCCACATTAGGACATGACTGGCGATTTTTCTACTTCATGCTATCTGCATAAATGACATATCATATGAAAGCTGAGATTTATCAGATTCCATTGGTATAAGTCTCATCACTGTACGACAAAACTCACTGAATTAGCAGCCAGGAAAGAGGGTTTCCATCATTAAGGGGTAGTTTTCACTATAAATAGTGAAATAGGTTATAGGTTTTTTTAGGCGGAGATTAGAATATTTTTTTTTTACTATGTTTAATCTGAATTTACTCTGACACAGCAAGATCTATATTGATTCTGACACTTCTACAGCCAACTCACAGGTGTATCATTGCTTTGATACAAAATATTATTCATATACCCCTTATAGTTATGAAGATATAATCATTCATTCTGGGCATGTCATTTTTCGAGCCTGAGGCCTGGGCTTAACAGGTTAAACTGTGGAACATGATGGCTGCTCTCAGAACATCTGTTATAATTTTCAAAAGTTCTGATTGTATAACAGATTGTCTTTAGGCGCTTTCACACCGGAGTAATTTTCCCACAATAGTTCCGATGTAGTTCCGAAAAGTTGCGTTCACACCAAAAAAAAAAAGAACTATATTGGGATGCTCACACGCCGCAAAATGTGTGGTTCTGGATATGCAGAGATTCTGTTTGAGGCACAACTAGTGACAAGTGGATCCCTCAAGAAGAAGAAGAAGAAGAAGACACACTTTATTAATCCCTTACAGGGAAATGTCTTTCCCCACTCTGTGTTAACACACATTACACACACAGGGGAGGATATACATGCACAAACACAGAGGATATACATGCACACACATAACCACATGCAGATAGGAGAGGTGGCAGAGCAGAGAGGCTGCCAGGTACCCGGCGTCAAAGGTGTTTTAAGTGGAAAGGCATACGCAAAGTCCCTCTTTTGCCTCAAAACTGTGTGCGAATCAATGGAGAGGCTGTTGATGGAGCGGTTCATTGAAGAGGAAAGCGTCCTTATCACTGACCCTGCTGCACTTCTCAACATGACCCAGTCTTGCAATCGAGAGCACCTCGATGAAGCCCTCAAAGACCGCTCAACTCTAACCCTCATCGAGAAGTATCACGCCTATGAGGAGAAGGTGCTCAAGGGTCACCTGGGAAAGACAGCTGCCTTATGGATGTCATTTATTAACCACTGTCATCTTGTCTTCATGCTACTCCACTCCGTTAAGACCAACAACATCCAGTTGTTTCACAAATGCAATGGAGAGATGGCAAATATCTTCTTTGCATTTGATGGACACAACTACTCAAGGTTTGTGCTATTTACATGACAATTTACCAAATTTGCATTATGAGACAAGCTTTGAAAATAAATGTTTCTATGTGTAATCTGTGCCTTTCCTTATCTGCAGATATCTGACTTGGCTGGAGGTCTATCTGACAAACCTGGAGAACACACACCCAGGGGCCAAAGACCTGCTTTCTAAGGGTGCAATTGCGGTGGCCCGCTCAATGATACCGGGGGCACTTATGGCGCATTTCCACTACAGCGCGGAGCTCGCTTTAAGCGTGCCGTGTCATGCCGTGCCCGTTTTTGGTTGCGCTTCCACTAGGCCTAGTCACGGCCCGGCCCGGCCCGGCCCGGCCCGGCCCGGGGCCACTTTTTCACCTCTTTTCTGGCCCGACAAAATTGTGGTTCTATCGGGGCCAACAAACAGGGCTGAGTCGGGCTGAGTATGCTAAACTAGAGAGAGGAGCGCTGGCAAGGGGGCTACAACTACAACAAGATGGACATATTTGACCGTGATTTAATTGTAATACACGTTTCAAAATGATGCCGAAGTAACAACATACTGATACCGGTTAGTAAAAACCATGAATTAATGCTTTGTCAAGTCTGCAGACAGACGGCAGGCGAAAAACCTTTTAAAATGCGTGTTTTTCTAGATGGAGATTGGCTAAGCTAACGCAGTATATGCTCCGACCGTCCACACTCACAACAGCATGAAGTGAGTCGGCCCTGTTAAGGCCCAACGCGGCCAAGCCGTACCGAGCCGTACCGAGCGTGGCCGAGGCCGACCGTGTAGTGGAAATGCGCCATTAGTGCAGTCGACAAGACCATGGAGGAAACGTTCATGCGCTTTGCCAAATCATCAGGTACATTATGATTTTTACCCAGACATTGAACAGATATACAGACATTGTATCAAGATTATTATATTATATAATACAATTGTATACTGCTCTCACAAAACCACATTTTATTTGATGATTTCTGAATTAAAATGCATGTAACTTATTGTGTGGGAGCAGTAGATCACATATTTGTTTCATACTTTTAAGGTGGCTTCACTGGACTATACAGCCAGTTTGGGGCATACCAGAGGTGGTGTCAAACAACCTCCACACGGGCACAGTTTTATCAAAAGACCCTTGAGATGGTGGACCTCATCAAAGACCCAGACTGCCCAAGGGCGGGGAAACATCGGGAGCTGGAGAAGGCAGAGGTCAAAAAGGGTGAGGAGGCCATTCAGCGAACCATCGTGACAATTAGGAACTTTAGGAACCCCTTCACCATCTCAGACAAGGACAGGCTCTACTCCCTGGCTTCTGGTGCTCCTGTCCTCATGGAGGTCGAGATGGACGTGCTACAAGCAGAAACTGTGGACAAGGCTGCTAAAGCTGAGTTCATCAAACGGCTACAGAGCAGAGAGCCAGCTAGCTTCTTTGACCCAATCAAAAAGAAGAAGCTCAAGACCATGGAAGCTTGTAACAAAAAGGTCACCCTCACATCCTCACAGGGAAAGGTAATGAGATGTTCCAATACCTGAGGTCTACTGTATTATTGAAATTAATTTAATAACCTTTATTTTTTATTGTTGTGACCCCATATTTGTTAATGATACACTATCAATATCATTCCAGGTCATCCAGTATCAGGAGCAAAACAATCTTGCTTTCCTGCTCCTTGTCAAGTCACAACGTGCAGAGGACCCATTGGTCTTGGAGGAACTCATGAAATATCCCCTAATGCCTGTGCCCCCTAGCCTTGGGACACCAGATGGGTTTTTCTCCAAGACTAATAAAGCGGCTCTTCTGCACTACAATCTGGAGGACACCACCCCAAAGGATCTGCCATACCCTAAGGATGCCCTGTTCATCCAGGATGGCATGGCTCTGCTCCATGTCCTCACCAACCTTCCCCCAACATGTGGGGAGATATGCCTACAAGTGCTTGATCAGATGGTGGCCAAAAAGCACTTTTTGTTCTCGACTGACAGTTACCATCCAGGATCTATCAAAGCACAGGAGAGGTTGAGACGTGGCAGTTCAGAGAAGATCATTTTGGCTGGACCAGCAACCAGGAAGCCATATGACTTCAAGATGTTTCTCACAAATGATGACAACAAAAAGCAACTCTGCCAGCTCCTGCTGCGAGTATGGAGTGATCAACAGGCAGCTTCAAGGCTGGAGAGAACAGAAATGGCAGTGCTGATCGTGGAAGGGAGAGCCCATCAACTTCTCTCCTCAAACGGCAAGGTAAATTGAAAGCCCATATTAAAAGTGATTGATGGTTAAATTATACTCTAAGTGATTATCTGTGATTTGTGTCTAGTCTCTGTCATTGTTGATCAAAGTGCAATATCCCATTGTGTATCAGGTTGAGGTACGTGAGCTCCCCACAATCTACAGCAACCAGGAAGAGACTGATACAAGGGTGGTACTCTACCTTCATCATGCTGCTGCCCTTGGGTACAAGAATGCTGTAGTCAGAACACCTGACACAGATATCTTTGTGATTCTTCTTTACCACGCTCATGCCATCAGGCTGACTATATACCTGGATACGGGGTCAGGGAAACATAGACAACTTCTCAACCTCTCTGAGCTTGCAGAATCCCTGGGAGAAGACTACTGTGCCACACTTCTTGGATTCCATGTGTTCAGCGGAGAAGACTGCACCAGTGCCTTCAAAGGGAAGGGGAAGGTGGGGCCCTTGAAAAAGCTGGAGAAGAACCCAAAGTTTCACAGGGCGTTCAGTCAACTCGGTGACAACTGGAATGTCAAGCCTGAGGTGCTGAAGCAGTTGGAGCAATTCACCTGTCTGATATATGGAGAGAGTCGTGAGTCTTCAGTGGACGTAGTCCGTGCCAAGTTGCTGCGCAAAATGGTGGGGCAGGACGATAAACTCACTGCCAAGTCTAAGGTTGACCTGGCTCGCCTTCCTCCATGCTATGATGCTCTGAAGCCGCACGTCCAACGTGTGAACCATCGCGTCGCCCTGAACAAGCGAGCTGATGAATCAATTTTAGAAAAACCAAACCCCTATGATGAGGAGCAGGGATGGATGAGGACTGATGGAGTGTTGAGACCGGTGTGGTCCTGTCCTGCCAACCTCCCTGGTTGATCTCCTGGACACGACAGAGCGTGAACAGGAAGACGAGGAGGAAGAGGAAGAGGAAGAGGAATTTGACTCTGATGATAGCATTGAAAACGATGATTGAGTATTAATCAGATAGTGGAGAGCCAAACCTTGACTGCTTATCTGGAATGGGAAAGAGTAGTCACATCAATACTTATATTATGATGTTTGACCCTTGCTGTAGGCTAGTACAAAACAAATAAATATTGGTTAAATACACAACATCTGTCTCGACACCTTATTTGTTCACTTACTGTACTGCAATATTGGCGTCTCTTAATTTGCATAGCATGCCACAGATACATGTGATCACTTTGGGAATAGTTTTATTGTGATCTTTGACCATCAAAACATGGGTCTAGACACATTATTTGTTCATTTATCTGCAATATTGGCTGAGATAGAGTGAAAAGTGTGAAAATTCCGTTTTTGGTAATGGTGACACTAATTTGCATAAAAAATACATGTGGGACATACAGACAACATTTTAACATAGCTCATCATTTTCTACATACTTTTTCCACTTAGGAAACACTGATTATAAGTATATTTCTGTGTCGGTGCAAAATACACCATTCTTGGTACAAGACTAAAATGCTATTTTCTTGTAATGGCGGCACTAATTAGCATAATAGCATGCCACAGACACATGTGATCACTTTAAGAATAGTTTTATTGTGTTCCTTGACCCTCAAAACATGGATCTGGATACCTTATTTGTTCAGTTATCTGCAATAATGGCTGAGATATAGTGAAAGGTGTAAAAAGAGTGAAACTCGATTTTTAGGGTAAATAAACACTAATTTGGGAAAAAAATATACGTGGGACAATTTGCCAACTTTTTAACATAGCTAATCGTTTTCTACACACTTTTTCCAATCTAGAAAAGCTGATTAGAAGTATATTTCAGGGGGGTGCATGATACCCCCTTCTACCCACCCAACTATACATTATTCAGCTATTTCAGGACATCAAGGCTATACATGTTGTTGTTTATACCTTTTTTTAAACCTTTTCTTTTAAATATTAAGCTTTTTCTGCATTTTTGTAGCTAAAAGCAGCTACCATTCAGCTAATAACATATTCAGCTTTTTCTGCATTTTCAGCTAAATTCAGCCACAAATGTTCATAGTTTACAGCATTCGCACGCATTTTCTGCAGGAAATGCATTTTCTAGTTTCAGCCAATACTTTGGCTCTCCATAACTTCAGCTTATTTTCAGCTACAGAAACCATTCACCAAATATTAAACTATTCAGCCTTTTCAGGAATCGATGGGAAACCTTCAACTTTTTAAAAATATTTTATACTTTTTGAAATATTCAGCTTTTTAAACTCTTTTTTTAACATGGAAGTCAATGGGAGGAGCCTTCAAATCCTCTTTTCCTACACCTTGCGCTAAATGCTACTCCTTCCACATACTTTCAGCTAGACACTTCATTCCAAATTTAAAATGACCACAAGTCCTTCAGCTATAAAACTTTAAAAAAGCTATAAAGCTATTACACTTTTTGAGATATTTAACTTAGTTTGGAGCTTGGTAGAGAGGCCTTTTTCAGATTTTAACATTAGTGTGGATGGAGCAGCTCGTTAAGTCTAGAGTGCTTTGATCTCAAAACAGAGTGCAGGAGTGCTTCAAATTCTCCCCAAAAAATGTTTTAAACTTGCCATAATTCCCAAACCCTACACTCCTCAGACATATTTTTTCATGAAAAACGTAGGAAAACCTCTCCTAGGTTGGAAAATTATTTTTTTTTTAGAAAAAATATTAAACAAAATGCCTCTTGAGGGCATGAAGAGACAATAAGTCCACCTAGCTCCCAATTGATTCCCATGTTACATTTTTCCAGATCTTTCTTCAGAACAGAGAGAAGTACACTTTAGATAAACTGCTCCCATCTCCACATTTTACACACAAAACCAAAAAAACAAACATATATCAGTTCATTTGGGGTTCCCTGATGCTCACGGTCTGGTATTTTTTTTATAAGAGCCATAGTTTTTGAACAGGTGGCAAAATTGTCAGATATAATCCTCAATGCATTCTTAATGGGACTCAGTGCTGCAGTTGGTAAATCGTGATAAGTCGTCACCATGGTAACCTTTGATCTCTGGGTTTACACCAAGCGGCAAACTCTGGGGAAGAGCCGGGACGCCAATACGGAAGTGCCACAAACTGCAGTTCATATATTGGCCGATAGGCGCTGACTGCAGAAAGGAGCAATTTCCATAGACCCCCATGTTAAAATGCCCAATTTTACAGCCTAAAAAAACATGTTTCTACCCATGGATCCAATACATATTATTATAGATATAGTTAGATTCCACCTTCATGATCATCAATCTGTGAGTGAATTGTTTTCTAACGCGACCCTTTTATTTATATTAGGTCTTAAATTTTTTGCATAAATTAGGGCGTGGTCACATTGAGTGACAGCTCTGTCAAGTCACTGCTGCTGTTAGCTTCTTGTCTCTCTGCTAGCTGCTCCGTGAAGCTACAGGGACTCTGCCTGCTCAGTTCATCCAGGGAACACAACTTGACCCCGGCCGTGTTTGTTTGTTCTTCATGCTTATATATCGGACTATTGTGACTCGCTCTGCGGTTAAAACAGACGGTGCATGAATGCCGTTTTGCGGTAAGTGAAATGAATGTGGTAGCTACATCGGTGCTAACGATGCTAATCGTAGCCTCCAAGTTAAAACCATAGACTGTATATATAAAGGTTAAAACGAAATAGACAAGTGTTAAGCGTTAAGTGGGATAACACTGTAGAACAAACGGCTTCTGTTTGAGGTTGATAAAATAAGGTCATCCTTGTAACTTAGAGAGATATTTTATTATTTAGTATACCTGCCTATAAAAGCAAATAAGGAATCTAGGATTGCCTTGCTTAGCTGTCTGAAAGACATAAAATCATGGATGGAAATCAACTTCTTGACTCTCACCGAAAACAAGACAGAGATTATAATATTTGGACAGTCTGAACTCCTGGATGGCTTTAATAGTGTACTAGGCCCCCTAGCCTCCTACAGCCGTCCCTCTGTCAGAAATCTTGGAGTAATCTTTGACAACTGTTTTAAATTCGACAAACAAATAAGCTCAGTTGTCAAGATAAGCTTCTTCCAGCTGCGGCTTCTGGGGAAGGTAAAGGCCTATCTTCCTAGTAAGGAATTTGAACAGCTAATCCACCTATTTATAACGTCTCGTTTAGACTATTGTAACTCCCTGTATATTGGTGTTGATAAGTGTTTGATCCGTCGCCTGCAGCTGGTCCAAAATGCGGCTGCACGCCTTCTTACTGGGAAGAGACGTTATGACCACATCACACCCGTTTTGGCAGACCTTCATTGGCTTCCTGTGAGTTACAGGATCCAGTTCAAGTACTTACTTGTTGTTTTTAAATCATTGCATGGATTGGCACCACATTACCTGTCTGAGTTGTTGCACCGCCATGCTCCAGCTAGAGCATTGCGATCAGCTCAGCAAAATATGTTGGTGGTTCCTCGGTGCAGGAAAAAAACCCGAGGTGACAGGGCTTTCAGTGTTGCAGCTCCCAGACTGTGGAACAGCCTCCCAGTACATATCCGGACTGCTGAGTCTATTGAACTTTTTAAATCTCAGCTAAAAACTCACCTCTTTGCACTGGCTTTTAATACTAGTTGAACATTACATTTTTACATTTGTATGTGTTTTTTTAAATATTTTTCTAGTTATTGTGCTTTTTATCATGTTTTTAATTATTGTTTTATTATTGTACTCCCATTGTGTTATTTAATATGTATTGCCTGTACAGCACTTTGGTCAACTGAAGGTTGTTTTAAATGTGCTATATAAATAAATAAAGATTGAGATTGAGATATTATGTAGGTAGGAACTGTATGCATCGCTAAGGTTAATTTAAATTGGCTATGCTCGAGTATGTAGACAAGCTAATGTCGAAGTAGTGTATGTGAAATCAACCTCACAATAAGATGTGTGTATATTACAATTATTAATGTCATATTTCAAGATGATTACTTAGATATTACAATATGGTTGGTTGAGCTGGAGTTCATTATTGAGCTTACACGTTAACATCACAGTCATCTGAATAACGAACCCAAACCTTGTTGTTTTTATGAATTGCATTACCAAATTGGTTTCAAATAAATAGTAAGCATTGGTAACACAACTTCCAAAGTTACAGTAAAATAAAAAGGACCCTGACTCGGACAATACACAATCCAACATGTTCAACAGAAGAGAATAAGTTATATTGTTTGTACACATGGTACTTTACATATATATATGTTTGTTTAAAGTGTCCAGGTGATGCAGACAGTCTGGACCAGAGAGTGAGAGACAGAACTAGACTCCTTACCAGAGGTCGCGTTAACCGAATATTTTCCGTCTATGACGGAATTTTTCCAAGAATGACGGAAAAATCTGAAAGCAGTCCATCATTTTGACAGATTAGAACACAACTCGGAACAGCGCCAAAATGTCCACCAGCGGCCCACATTATATTACATCCTTAGTGGCCAGGTTGACTGAGGGCGATCTACTGTACTATGGGGGTTATTCCCTATCTTTATTCAAGAGCATGGTCTTTACATTTGAAAGCATACTTTATTGATTTCACGTTCAGATTATGTATTTCTTTCCCTCAAACCCTGTCCTCACACTCAAACAGTGCCTGCTTGCACTTAGATTAGCTCTGCTTCTGCTTAAACTGTACGCTTGCACTCAGATATATTGCTGTGTTTACAGATTTCCTGTGTTCCAGCTTAAAACCTTCTCCTCGCACTCAGGCTCTTTCTGTGCGCTCGTGAAATGTCTGCTCTCAGATTTCTGCTGTGCGCGCTTGGATCTTTTGTGCAACAACCCTGTCAAAATCCCTCAACCAATAGGAGGCCTGGTGTCCTTGCGGGTGCGTTCGCTTTACTCATTAGAGCGTCCCGTAAGGGCGGTTACTCTTTGGTTTATAAACTACCGCCCTCCACGGC